TTGACTCAGAATCCTGGCCCGGACACATTTTGTGTAGTCGCTGAAAGAATCAATGTCAAGGTTAAAAACATCATAAGGTAGTTTTTAAAACACAACGTAAAGATTGCTTAACCTATCCGAGGAGTGGTGTATGCAACAGTACGCACAACTCGGGTAGCAATTATCTTCCTTTAACTTGATCTACCTTCCAAGGTAATTTGTATGTTGATACTATAACCCAAAGCAATATGTATGCAAGTTTGACCTCAACACAACTAGAAATAGATCTTTCCTGTATTCCACTCTAGTGAGCACACTCACACACTCAGTGAAATAAGTTCAAGGTTTGGGCGGTCAATTTCATAACGATCGCTGGATTTTGACTAAGGTCTGCTTTGTTCACCGGAATGCAAGAAAGAACTATACACTATACACTATGTATTTTGCTGATGTTGTTAAGTTTTTTTTCAGACTGAATAGTGTGTAATCTAACAAGTATTTTTTGTTGCAGCCAGAAAGTGTACGATGTTGTTCACCCGTCGTGGCTTATAAAGTGTCTGGTAAGTAGAAAACGTTCGGCAACACCGCCACCAAATTATCACATATGTCACTGTGGTCTGACATTTATGACTTTTCACTTTGTTTCTTGATTTCTCTATACGTTGCTTGACCAATGGAAACCAATGATTCTTTGATACCAATAAAAACTCAGTAGATGTCGGCCTCTACGTGACTGTAGATTATAGCGTATTGCTTTAAAGATGTTCTTTGTAGGGTTAGCAGGAGGAAAACCGGTGTGGACTGAATGTCACCTGTTTGTGACTTTGTCTCTTTTGGAGGTAAACTAACATGAAAATTTCGAAGAAACGCTTTCTTCGTTAAATTGACTCTTCTCTTCGGTTGTTGTTGTTGTTGTTTATTAATAACGAGAAAATGTGGACGGTTTAGACCATAGTGACTATTCTCCAAATTTTGGTGCATATAAATCGTGACCGGTCGTTTCGCCATCCCTTTTGCGAACTAAACAAATAATGATTTGGAGGTAGCACATCTACAAAGCGGTTCTTCGTCTACCTGATCCTTGGTCGAATTGGAATTTGAAAATGTTGGTTTTTGAGGAGAGGGGAAAACCGGAGTACCCGGAGAAAAACCTCTCGGAGCAAACGAGAGAACCAACAACTAAGACCCTGTTTACATGGAGTGGGGGACCCAGGTTTAGTGGGGTAGGTTTCTTTTGTTTTGTGTCCCCCAAAACGAGCGCTGCGCATGTATAGACATCGTTCTATCAGCCATGATAAGAAAAAGTGCGATACGCATGTATAATGTATACCTCGTTTATTATTACTGATCAGGCGAGAGCAGTTAAGGAACTGACCCGACACGTAAGCAAAACAACTTGAGACGTCCGCGAAATGACTCGTAGACGAAACGATCGCAAACCCGTATAAATATTGACTTATTTTAATTTGTTAATGATAGGAATGTGGGCTGCTGAAGGCGTGGCTGCCGAGTGAGATGTTACATTTTTCAGTGCGAACTGCTGATAAATTTGCCGAAGAATATGATTGCTTTGGTGATAGTTACACTCACAATTCCACCCCTGAGTCACTGAAAGAAATTTTCGATAAAGTGCCAACACAGGTGAGGGGACTGTTAAACTTCTGAAAGTTAACTTAATATTTTTACCAGGACATCTTCACGCCTTCTAGCCTGCGAAAACATCCGTTTCTCCTCGCTCTTCGCCGCTGGGGACGTTTCGCGCGAAACGTCCTCAGCGGCCAAGAGCGAGGAGAAACGGGTGTTTTCGCAGGCTACACGCCTTCTTTTCGATTTAAACCTAGAACTAGGGCCTTCTTAATTATTTAATTACAACTTGGTGGCATAATAGTTGCTCTTTCAGTATATAGAAGCAGTAACTATTGTGACCTATACTCACTGGTGCATGTTCAAGTTACTTTTCTAGTTTAACGAACCACCCCCGGGTGGTACTCCCCTACAAAAGTGACGGGGGTGCTCGTCGGAAATTTTTGAGAACACCCCTAGGAGGTACCAGAATCTTGTTTTATGGGCGTGTCAATACAACAACTAATCATACAACTGGCGCTGCAAATTTTAATAGTAATAAAGATAACTTTCGAACAATTTCTTCTTAACGACTCTTTGAAAGTATTGTGATAAATGTTTATCCTAATCAGTCATTTCAGGCTTTAGCACCCTAAGCCGTACCAATCCACAAATTTGAACCCCTGAAAGGTACCCTAAACCCAGCACCCCCGTCACTTTTAGAGGGGAGTACCGCTCCCCGGGACGAAACCGTGCCTGTTTAAGCACCAGTTAAGTCCTAGGGAAGTCCTTTTTCTAGATATCCATTCCGTCTCTTCCATGTTTGGGTGTGTTCCTTTCGGCAAATCCAAATCCCGATTTTTGATCTGGTGAATCCTTTTTGGAAAAGGAAATCCGAAGAATCCAAATCCAGTTTAACGGATTAGTGATCTACGCTGTTCCATTCACAGTGGATCGGAAATTAGTCAGATGATCCACCGGTATTTCCAGTTGAAGTATTCCCATAGAGGCCGTAGAGTTTCCTCGTTGCTGTCATTTGCCGCAAAACATCTGAAAACACTAGAAGATTGTTCCTGGTACGTTAAATATCCATATACTAACCATTTGTCTCTAAAGATTGCTTGAAATCAGAAATAAGTAAAAGTAACAAATGGACTGCTATCTAACTACAAACTCGCTTGTAGACGCGACAGGCACTCGATCGTGTTACATAAAAAAATCCGAGCTATGGAACTGGATCATACTGGCCGACATTCTTTAGATAATTTTCAATTTCAATGCGCTTCTTTCTTTGTCTGTTTTATATGTTCCATCGTCGCTATTCGAACTGCCGACCGCTAAATTCTGCACGGTATAATCGCATAATTTGTCAAAGAGTAGAAAACACGTCATTTTTTGAGAGGCTGTCGTGCATATTGCACGCGTTGGCGAAAGGTTACCAAGGTTACAAATCCAATTTCGGATTTCACGTTCCTTTCCTGCGAAATCTGGCAAATCTAGGATCAAAAATCCGTTTTTGGATTCGCCGAAAGGAACACAGTACACCCTTTCTGTGTTATTGTAGCACATACCCTGGCAAAATGCTGTTTCTTGCATATGACTAATTTTCATAAAGTTCAGATTTGCAAGGCATTTTCTGGAAAGCATACACAGTGAATTTCACTAGGGTACTGTACTCCCCGCTCCCTTACTTGTTTGCAATGCCTGTGTACTTTGAGCTCTTTGATAAAATACATCACCGTTATGGAAGGCAAGAGTGACATAATTACACTAGTTCGTTAATAACAACCATAGCGTAATAGTTTATTTCCTTTCTTTTAAAGAACAAGACAGTGTCTCTTTCTAAAGAACAAGTATTGGAAATAAAGGAAAACTATTTTCCAGATAATTTGTCTATGGGGTTATTCAGTCATTGCAGGTTAGAATAAATTTAATTTCATTTTACAGCAGTTGCTCGTTAGAATCCTTTAACAATCACATTTCAGTTAGCCTGCGTGGCAGGCGTTCGAAAGGGAAGGGGAAGGGAATTAGGGCGCGAGACCACGCGCGAGGGGGGAGGGAGGAGGGGAACGCCTGCAAGGAAGCCATTGTTTTCGCCATCCCACCTACTAATTAAAAAAATAACAATATAACGCAACTGCTCTCGCGCGCCCAAATTCCCCCTTCCCCTTCCCCTTTTAAAGCCTACCACGCAGGCTACATTTCAGTGGGAACTAATCAGAACGGCAGCTTACTCTGGAGCTTACTGAATGAAAGCTAAATTCATCATTCATCTTCATATAGCATGCCTGTAGTAGAATTGGATCTTGTTTACTGTGGGTAATGTCGACTGAGATATCGGTCGACATAGCGGTCGATATAGCGGTCGACAGTCGGTCGATATAGCGGTCGACAGTCGGTCGACAGTCGGTCGATAGTCGGTCGATAGTCGGTCGATAGTTGGTCGATAGTCGGTCGATGGTCGGTCGATAGTTGGTCGATAGTCGGTCGATAGTGAGATAGACTATCGGTCGAGTATCGGTCGATATTCCGTCGACGCACCTCGACTTACTATCGGTCATATGTCGGTGATATATCGGTCAACTGTCGGTGATATATCGGTCAACTGTCGGTGGTATATCAGTCAACTGTCGGTGGTATATCGGTGAACTGTCGGTGGTATATCGGTCAACTGTCGGTGGTATATCGGTCAACTGTCGTTCGAATATTAGTCGTGTGTTAATTTATCACGTGAGTCCAATGGCTTTTTTTTTTTTAAGCAAAGACGTCATTAATTACTGTTATCATGCGATGGGGAACATGTGGCAAAGCAAGGCGCGATTACGCTATGAAGAGAACCGAAGAGCACTGGGAACTAAGGACATGATAACCTTTTTTTTCCAGTTTGTATCATCACCGATCGTCTGAGTTTTAGCTGTTAAACAGAACCTGTCTCAGCCTAAGTTGAATCTGCTGCTCCTGTGGTCCCGCAAAAATGTAGGAAAATGTAGGAAATGCTAAGTGTCGACCGACCATCGACCGAGTGTCGACCAATTACTGACCGACACATCGATCAAGTATCGACCAACTATCGACCAAGTATCGGCAAAGTGTCGGCGAAATGTCGGCGAAATGTCGGCGAAGTGTCGGTGAACTAAAAGCTATATCGGCCGAGACACATCTGGAACGACTATCGGCCGTGTCTCGACCGAGTGTCGACCCACTATCGACCGACTATCGACCGCTATATCGACCGACTGTCGACCGAGTGTCGACCGACTATCGACCGAGTGTCGACCAAGTATCGACCGAGTGTCGACCGACTATCGACCGAGTGTCGACCGCTATATCGACCGCTATATCGACCGATATCTCTCGGTCGACATTACCCACAATTATAGAATAATCGTAGCCAACAGTTACCAGCGCCGTACAAACGACTTATTGACGAGATCAAGCAAAACTAACTACGAGAGAACGACTGGAGAACTGACAATTTGACTAACAATAGATGACTGTTTAACTGTGACAAGAGACTGATTACGAGTCTTCATAGCCAAATGAATAACATCACGGCTTAACTGACAGACGACCAATAACATCACGACGTAATTGACCAAACAGATCAGTAACCAGAGTATAATACCATCAACTGACGTGATACAACTCACTCTGACTCTGAAGATAACTACCGCACAGATTGTCGAAACGTCAGTCACTATCAACAACAACAGTCCTATTCAGGACTACGTTCACCCGGACGATGAAACTCAACCTACTTTTAAAATGACTCCTGGGTTCAAACCTTTCACAGAATAATATTAATTCGTTATCTTCAAATATGGGAGGCGCTATACCTTGTTATGCAATCCAAAGGGTTTTTGCTGTTGCAGCTTTAAATCATTGAGTAATTTGATAAACAAAAAATTAAGCAAGAGAAAAAAAGGAGATTCAGTGTGTCAACAGGCGTCACGCTACGGGTTGTCGCATATTCCTCGTGCCTCCTTTTGGACTTCTCGAGTAGAAGCTCCTCCAAGTATGAAAAACTAAGTCATTCGGCTGACGGCACCTTTGACTTCTATTTATCTTAGAGTTTACCTTGACCGGTACAGTTGCATCGGGGACTCATCAACAGTAAGTAGCCCCGGCGTTTAGTCTCTTTGTATACACCCTCTGTTTTTAAGAAACCTGCGGGCAGACGTTTCTCCTCGCTCATCTTCGCTGAGGGACGTTTCGGGACGTTTCGTTTCGTTCCACCTCGCGAAATGTTCCTCAGCGGCGATGATCGAAAGAAACGTCTGCCGTTCGCAGGCCATATTTTAACACGATGAGACTTCAAAACTAAAAGCTTACGACTCCCGGAATTAATGTACCATAAATCGCATGCATTTAACATATTCAAGGAAATGCTGTGAGCAAATTCTATCATCCATGGATATCAATTACCAGGACCTGAATTTTCCAAGTAAACACAATCACTTTCCTTGTGCCGGGCCGGGAAGTGGAGATGTTTAACGTTTTAAATTTAAGTTACTTTTTAACGAAATAACCCACGAAAGGAAAATGCCGGAGTTTCTATTGTATCTTGTGATCAAAGCTATATCCCTGACCATTTACCAGGGTAAAAATTGTCTCGCTTTCCAATATGATTGTTTTTCAATTTACAAAGTGCTTTACATGACTGGATGCCATATCCTTGAGACTGAAAAAAAAAACATTTCCCCGATCCGTTGTAAAGGTCAGTTACGTTAGGTGTGATGAATATGTTTCAATGCATTACTGATTTCTCTTTAAGGAGATACCTAACTGCCGTCTGCAGCTAGTTGAGTTGAAACTTCGTCTTTACGGTGCCCAAGTTACGCACAGCTTCGATGTCAAAGTAACACACGTCATCTTTGATGAAAGGTAAAAATCAAACCAAAAATATTTCTTTATTTTGAATAAGAAAACATTGCACGCTTAAGACCAGTGACAAATGGTAGTGGATGGGCGCATTCTATAGGCCCGCCCAAACATTGAACAATTTTCGTACAGAATGTAGAAGATAACAAACTTATAATGTTGGAATAGAAAAACCGTAACCTTACTTCTTTCAGTCACATAAACGTCCTACACCTTAATTTATTAATATAGCGTTAAACCTCCATTAAGCGGCCACCTTCGGGGCACCGGCAAGCGACCGCTTAATAGAGGTTGACCGCTATGGAGGTTCGTCATGAACCGTTCATAAATTCGCAGAATCTTTAGCAGAATCGAAAACATCACTTAATTTTAAAACAAACACTCGATGGGGGCAGCGTTAGTGTTTTACAATCGGTCGTGACCTCCTCTCTTTATCATATTCTTAAAATAAAGCCAAAGTTAGTCTGTCAAGTGCTTTAGAGGTAACAACAATTGGAAAACTCTCGTTGGACAGCAAAAGGGGGCGACAGCCGCTTAATAGAGGTGGCTGCTCAACAGTTAGAGGTTTAATTCCCCATTATTGGTTACAATTATTTCGGGCTTTGATTACTGCCCGCTTAATAGAGGTTAGGTAGCCGCATAATGGGGGTTCAACTGTATTTTCAATTTTTTTTGTCTTTTTTGCTTAAATTTAAGTAGATAGCGTGAAGTTAAGCACAGATAGAGTATTGAAAGATAGAGCACTGTGAAATCAGAGGTTCTAAACGGACGTATTGTTTTTCTAATGTCTTTTTTGTATTTACTTAGTGACCTAAGTCGTCTTCAAGACTTTCAACGAATGCAGGACGAACATACAAAGCAGCATTTTGTGAGTTTGAATTGGTTTGTCCAGTCAATACAAGCAGAGAAGCTCTTGCCAGAAAGATATTTCAGACCAACTACCTAATGCAGCTGCTCCTAACCCTCACGGAACAGTCCTTGTTTGCCTGCACTATTAAACTTCGAATGGTCGCTTCTAAAACTTACACTGTGCTACTGTGTGGTGTAGATGTTGCACGAAGTATTACGTACGGCATGGTTGGTCATCTTTTAGTTAAAGGAGAAAAAGCCTCGTAGACAAACATTATGCAGAAGATTAAGACCCAAGAGGGAAAGGGGTATATAGCAATTATAGCATTCAAACTTAAGATACCAAGGCAGGGTGGGGGAAGTTGGCATCACTAATCAAGATAAACTGTTTCATGAACCTTCATCATCCAGCGCTATCTCATGTTGAACAGAGACAACAATATTATGCTTGCGTATTTTTTGAATCAATAAAAACACAGACAGCCCAAACTCTGTGGGAGTTCGTTGGACTTTGAATTTATAAGAGAATGTATGAAAATAAACAAAATACGTCCTAAATTCCATTTTTTGACAAAGGTAGAAATAAAAATGACTTACGTTGTGTATGTGTTTTGTTATTTACTGTCTCTTCGCCTCTAGAACCATTTGGAAGCCGTTTTATCGACGTTTAAGATTTAGAGTTGTACTAACAGTAAGAAAAATGGGAAGGCTGCTGGGGACTCCTGAAGCCGACCGTTCCAGCTCGAAGCTCCATAAATCCCATAAAAATGGACCAAGTAACATGGAAAAAGAAGCCTCAAGTTGAAAAACAAAAATAATCCATCAACGCCTGAACCCGACGGCCTTAATCCAAAGGCAGTAACAGAGAAAAAGAAGCCCAAGTCGAAAAACAAAAAAAAAGTCCATCAAAGCCTGAACCCGACGGCCTTAAACCAAAGGCAATAAAAAGAAAAAAGAAGCTGCAAGTCGAAAAACACAAAAAATCCGTCAAAGCCTAAACCCGACGGCCTTAAACCAAAGGCAATAAAAAGGAAAAAGAAGCTGCAAGTCAAAAAACACAAAAAATCCATCAAAGCCTAAACCCGATGGCCTTAAACCAAAGGCAATAAAAAGGAAAAAGAAGCTGCAAGTCAAAAAACACAAAAAATCCATCAAAGCCTAAACCCGACGGCCTTAAACCAAAGGCAATAAAACGGATAAAGAAGCTGGAAGTCGAAAAACAAAAAAAAATACATGAAAGCCCAAACCCGACGGCCTTAAACCAAGGCAATAAAACGGAGAAAGAAGCTGCAAGTCGAAAAACAAAAAAAATACATGAAAGCCTAAACCCGACGGCCTTAAACCAAAGGCAATAAAATGGAAAAAGAAGCTGCAAGTCGAAAAACCAAAAAGATCCATCAAAGCCTGAACCCGACGGCCTTAAACCAAAGGAAATAAAATGGAAAAAGAAGCTGCAAGTCGAAAAACCAAAAAGATCCATCAAAGCCTGAACCAGACGGCCTTAAACCAAAGGCAACAAAATGGAAAAAGAAGCTGCAAGTCAAAAAACACAAAAAATCAATCAAAGCCTACACCCGACGGCCTTAAACCAAAGGCAATAAAATGGAAAAAGAAGCCTTAAGTCGAAAAACCAAAAAAAATCCATCAAAGCCTAAACTCCACGGCCTTAAACCAAAGTCAGTAACATGGAAAAAGAAGCCTCAAGTCGAAAAACAAAAACATCCATCAAAGCCTAAACCCAAAGGCCTGAAACCAAAAGCAGTAAACGAGAAAAATAAGCGTCAAGTCGAAAACAAAATAAATCCATCAAAGCCTAACCCCGACGGCCTTAAACCAAAGGCAGTAACATGAACAAGGAAGCCTCTAGTCGAAAAACAAAAGAAAAAATCCACCAAAGCCTTTTTCTGACGGCTTTAAGGTGTTTCTAACCATAAAAACTTCATCCCAAAATATCTCGATAACGCTCTTACAGATTTCGCTTAAACTTCACAAACATCGAGGCCGCTATTGGAGGAAAAAGCTCCCGTGAACGATTTTAGAAGAACAGTTCTTAGTGCCGAGATATACTGCTGAAAGTAAAATAGGTAATAGCGTCATTTTGTTGCCATGACAACTCCGATGCCGTTGCAACCCTGATCATAACAAATTTTCATCTTTATCTAATACAACTGTGGTGGCAATTTTTCCAAAACTTTGTTTATGGCTACGTAGTTTATGCTCAAGCTTGGGAGGTATTGACCCTGAAAAACTGTATCGAGCCACCTTAATCTAATGGCAGTGACATAGAAAGAGAGTTCTCAAGTCGAAAAACAAAACAAAAATCCATCAAAGCCTGAACCCGACAGCTTTCAAAATTTGACATGCAGAATTTTGAAGTTTCAAGGTTTGGCATAAAGATTGTCAAATCTTGAAATTTCAAGAGTTGACAAGCAGAATACTGAAATTTCAAGATTTGACACTGAATGTCAAATCTTGAAATTTCAAAATTCTCCATGTCAAATTTTGAAATTTCAAGGCTTCTTTTTCCATGTTACTGCCATTAATTTAAGGCCGTCAGGAACAGGCTTTGATAGATTTTTTTGTTTTTCGACTAGAGGCTTCCTTTTCCATGTTACTGCCTTTCGTTTAAGACCGTCGGATTAGGCTTTGATGGATTTTTTTTTCCCCATAAGGCTTTTTTTTCCACGTTACTGCCTTTGGTTTGAGGCCGTGGAGTTCAGGATTTCGTGTTTTTTTTCTTGTTTTTCGACTTGACACCTTTTTTTTCATTTTACTACCCTTGGTTTAAGGCCGTCGGGCTTAGGCTTTGGTGGATTTTTTTGTTTTTTGACCCTAGGCTTCTTTTTCTATTTTACTGCCTTTGGTTTAAGGCCACCCGAGTTAGGCTTTGATTTATTTTTCTTTGCTTTTTCGACTTGATTCGTCATTTTCCATGTTAGTGCTTTTTAGTTAAGGCCGTCGGGCTTTGGCCTTGATGGATTTATTTCTTTTTCTACACGAGGCGTCTTTTTCTATGTTACTGCCTTTGGTTTAAGGCCGTCGGGTTTAGGCTTTGATAGATTTTTTTGTTTTTGGACTTCCAGCTTCTTTTTTCATTTTATTGCCTTTGGTTTAAGACCGTCGGGTTTAGGCTTTAATTGATTATTTTTGTTTTCGACTTGCAGCCTCTTTTTTCATTTTATTGCCTTTCGTTTAAGACCGTCGGGTTTAGGCTTTCGTGAAATTTTGTTTTTCGACTTGCAGCTTCTTTTTCCATTTTACTGCCTTTGGTTTAAGGCCGTCGCATTCAGGCTTTGATGCATTTTTTTGTTTTTGGTATTGCAGCTTCTTTTCCCATTTTATTGCCTTTGGTTTAATCGGGTTCGGGCTTTGATGGATTTTTTTTGTTTTTCGACTTTCAGCTTCTTTTTCCATTTCATTGCCTTTGGTTTAAGGCCGTCCGGTTTAGGCTTTGATGGATTTTTTGTTTTTCTACTTGCAGGTTCTTTTTCCATTTTATTGCCTTTGGTTTAAGTCCGTCGGGTTCAGGCTATGATGGATTTTTTTTGTTTTTTGATTTGGGGTTTCTTTTTCCATTTTATTGCCGTTGGTTTAAGGCCGTCGGGTTGAGGCTTGGATGGATTTTTTTTGTTTTTCGACTTCCAGCTTTTTTTTTTCATTTTATTGCCGTTGGTTTAAGGCCGTCGGGTTGAGGCTTTGATGCATTTTTTGTTTTTGGAATTGCGGCTTCTTTTTCCATTTTATTGCCGTTGGTTTAAGGCCGTCCGGTTTAGGCTTTGATGGATTTTTTGTATTTCTTGACTTCCAGCTTCTTTTTCCTTGTTATTACCTTTGCTTTTAAACCCTCTGGTTGAGGCGTTAATGGATTTTTTTTGTTTTTCGACTTGCAGCTTCTTTTTCCATTTTATTGACTTTGGTTTAAGGGCGTCGGGTTCAGGCTATGATGGATTTTTTTTGTTTTTTGATTTGGAGCTTCTTCTTCCATTTTATTGCTTTTGGTTTAAGTCCGTCGGGTTCAGGCTATGATGGATTTTTTTTCTTTTGTGATTTGGGGTTTCTTTTTCCATTTTATTGCCTTTGGTTTAAGTCCGTCGGGTTTAGGCTATGATGGATTTTTTTTTTTGATTTGGAGCTTCTTCTTCCATTTTATTGCCTTTGGTTTAAGTCCGTCGGGTTTAGGCTATGATGGATTTTTTGTGTTTTTTGATTTAGAGCTTCTTTTTCTACTTTATTGCCTTTGGTTTAAGTCCGTCGGATTTAGGCTATGATGGATTTTTTTTTGATTTTGATTTGGGGCTTCTTTTTCCATTTTATTGCCTTTGGTTTAAGTCCGTCGAGTTAAGGCTATGAAGGTTTTTTTTTGTTTTTTGATTTAGGGCTTCTTTTTCCATTTTATTGCCTTTGGTTTAAGCTCGTCGAGTTAAGGCTATGTAGAATTTTTTTTTTTTTTTGATTCGGGGCTTCTTTTTCCATTTTATTGCCTTTGGTTTAAGTCCGTCGGGTTTAGGCTTTGATGGATTTTTTTTGTTTTTTGATTTGGAGCTTCTTTTCTACTTTATTGCCTTTTGTTTAAGTCCTTCGGGTTTAGGCTATGATGGATTTTTTTGTTTTTTTTTATTTGGGGCTTCTTTTTCCATTTTTTTGCCTTTGGTTTAAGTCCGTCGGGTTTAGGCTATGATGGATTTTTTTTGTTTTTTGATTTGGAGCTTCTTCTTCTACTTTATTGCCTTTGGTTTAAGTCCGTCGGGTTTAGGCTATGAAGGATTTTTTTTGTTTTTTGATTTCGGGCTTCTTTTTCCATATTATTGCCTTTGGTTTAAGACCGTCGAGTTAAGGCTATGAAGGATTTTTTTTGTTTTTTGATTTGGGGCTTCTTTTGCCATTTTATTGCCTTTGGTTTGAGCTCGTCGAGTTAAGGCTATGAAGGATTTTTTTTGTTTGCTGATTCGGGGCTTCTTTTTCCATTTTATTGCCTTTGGTTTAAGTCCGTCGGGTTTAGGCTATGATGGATTTTTTTGTTTTTTGATTTGGAGCTTCTTTTTCCATTTTATTGCCTTTGGGGTAAGTCTGTCGGGTTTAGGCTATAATTGATTTTTTCTGTTTTTTGATTTGGGGCTTCTTTTTCCATTTCATTGCCTTTGGATTAAGTCCGTTGGGTTTAGACTATGATGGATTTTTTTTGTTTTTTTGATTTGGAGGTTCTTCTTCCATTTTATTGCCTTTGGCTC